TGGCCACACCATGTGAGGCGTGGTTTTACACGCTCCTGCAGCCTGAGATAAGAGCAGTGGAAGGTTTTTAATATTTCAACCAACATCTACACTGCACCTCAGCATGGATCCCAGATTTTATGTTTTCTTACTTCTTATAATCACTGACATTGTGTCAACAGGCACTTTTCAATATACTGAATATTTTAAATAAAAGTTTTCATAAGAATGTGTTCTGTGATCACTACATACAAATGAATTAAATGTTGATTTTAATTTTGGTGGATGACTAAATAAAAGTTTGTTTCCACTGACTCTCTGGCTCATTTGTTTAAGCTTCAATGGCCATCTCGTACTTTGGTCTTGGCCTTATACTTGTATAGCACCTTTCTATGAATTGCAGTACACTCACCGCTAATCCTCGGGTTAGGAGACGACCCGCTGCTAACATACTCAGTGGTGCTGTATTTAGACACTATTTGCAGTTTGTTGATTGTGTTTTGCTTTAACTTCCTCACCAGGACATTGTTTTTTGTTTTGCTTTAACTTCCTCACCAGAACATTGTTTATGTCAGGCAACAGTTATATTTATAAAACATATGTGACTTGTCCGGTCTTTGTAATTGCTGACATACGTACCAATGAGTGGAATTTCCAAATTTTAGTTTCAAGTTTTCAAGCATTTTTCAGACTTCCTTCCATTAGTTAAAAGTCTTTTATAGAAAATTGATTTAATCAAGAGGAAAGCACAAAGTAAGTTAGATACATGGGTGAGATTATTATTAGTGCTAAATCTAAACCATCACTTCATCAGTCTGTTTATGACAAACAACAAAGTTTTGCCCTTTCACCCAGACAGAGATTATTACTGTGAATTCGAAGCCAAAGGCTTACAGTGACATGCTTCTCTTCATCATGACCACATTTATATCTCTTCAGTCACTTTGGTTTGTTATTGTTTTCCACAAATTGAATTAGCAATTGAGAATGCATTTGTAATTTCAAAAATCCTGTGAATGTCTCAACAGTATCTTACAAAAGGTAGGTAACATGCTACATAACTAATCAAATCTCAGTAGATTTAATGTAATTTATAGTATACACTGTAATCAATTATCACAATGTGAAACTGCTTCCACTAAATGGAGTGCTTTTAGTCAGTGCATAGTAACATTTTGCATTGTATTACCCTGGAGTCAAAAGTACATATTTGATTTTATATGGATATGCCTTTTACAAAAATGTAAAGCTGGTCCTTAAATGCATTGTTAATGTTAGTACAAGTTATTAGCAAACTGCAGGCTTTATTGCTGACAATGACTGAATGTAATTGAAATTCTTCAAAACGAAGCAACAGAATACTGAATGCAATCTAATTTTTTTTTTTTACCAAAAGAAATATACAGTTTCAGTGCACTTGAGTTTACATTCATCAGAAGTTCCCAGTTTCTCACAAGATAGTAAGGTGGGCATTACAACCACTGTGTTGTCTGTTCTCTATTGTACTGACTGGTAAATTTGATAATTAAAAACTGAAAACTAAATAAAACTGTTTACTGAAGGCACTGAAGTGGTTCTTTATATCACCTGTGAGGCTTGAACAAAACTCTGTGCTCCAAAGGAGATTCTGAAAAATAATCTGCAAATTCATCAAGAAATTGAGATGGAGCGGGCTCACAGAGTCGGGAAACCTTCGGATCGTGGTCCGAGGGCGGTGATGGTAAAGTTGATGAAAGAGAAAGATATGGCACACATATTGCAACAGGCAAAGAAGCTTAAAGGATCTAACATTTATATAAATGAAGATTACACCGAGTCTGTGAGGAAGAGAAGAAGGGAGTTGATGCCGAAGTTAAGGGAGGCCAGGGCGAGGGGAGACATCGCGTTCCTGAGGTATGATCAACTAGTGACCAGACCTCAGAACCAGGAATCAGGACCTAGGACCAGCTAGCCCAGGATGCCAAGACAACGAGATGAAGGGGTCGCTGGACCCTCAGATGTATGAAGAGACACGCAGGTATATCGATATCTGCGACGGCAGATGAGCATCGGAACCGACAACAACAAGTATGACCCATGTACGGAATGAGGCAAGTGATTTGTTACAGAAGTTAATAGATTTTGAGGGACTGGAGCTGGAACTGAACACTATTGGAAATACTGAAATTCATTATCATGAACTGGACAAAAATTTTGACCCTGAAAAAAAACTTTTTTAAGAACTCTGAAAATAACTGCAAGTATTACACGGATGAGCAGTTTAACAGCAATGTCAAGACTGA